AAATACCGCCAAGTCCAATTTTCCGAGACCTTATTCGGGGAGATGGTTGCATCGATTGGGGCGAGCATGGAGGCGAGCTTATTGAGAACGCATAACGGAATCTCGCCGGAGGCTTTTGTGCTTTGATTACGCTGCCCACTCACGTTTCGCCAAATCGACGCACGGGGGTCTGAATGATCAAGCCAAATACCCGCGTAACAATCTCCCCAAAAAACTACTTTTAGAGCAATCTGTGCATGTGCGAACTTGCCGTGGGGATGACTCGAGCCTGTCAAGCTTGTAAGGGATTGCCCATGAATAACGTAACGCTCTAGGGGGAAGGGGGCCAGGGGGGCGAGGAGAGCGTTACGCCTTTTTTTTACGTGTTATAGTCCAGGCGCCTGGTAAGTCTACCTGGAATTTTGGGTACACAGCGATTTTTTTGGCCTACTTTATGTTTTTTGGGTCGCTGAATCCGAATCTGAAGTTTCCGCAGGCGTATCTGGTGAGCATTTTCCGCTATTTTGAAAAAATGGCCTAAAAAGGCCTTTTTTTGCGGTTTTTTTGATATAGCGGCTACGGATGAGCAAAAGTCCCGGATTTAGCTAATGTTTTGAATAGCTGACATAATTTGGAAGAAAATGGTATATACATATGTTAGGTTTGCTTAAAAATTGAGGAAGATACAGCATCGTGAACATCGCGCCTATTCACGTTTTCGCGGCGCACCCGTCAACGCGCGATCCGGCTCGCCGCGGTCAGCCAAGTTCCGAAGCGTTCTAAAGTTCCGAAATCCGAGGTTCCTCAATTTTTGAGCAAACCTAGCATATTTATATACCATTTTCTTCCAAATTTTGTCAGCTATTCAAAACATTAGCTAAATCCGGGACTTTTCCTCATCCGTAGCCGCTATATCAAAAAAACCGCAAAAAAAGGCCTTTTTAGGCCATTTTTTCAAAATAGCGGAAAATGCTCACCAGATACGCCTGCGGAAACTTCAGATTCGGATTCAGCGACCCAAAAAACATAAAGTAAGCCAAAAAAATCGCTGTGTACCCAAAATTCCAGGTAGCCTCATTTTTAGCTACCAGGCGCCTGGACTATTAAAGGATAGTGAACTTACGTCACAGAAGTGTTACGTGAGGGGAGGGGAGGGGGTCAAAAAATGCCGAAAAAGTGCGTCACGTAATTTATGGACGGCCCTGAAGGGTTATATTCATAGTTTTTCCTTAAAGACCTGCTGTTCTCTGAAGACACTGAGAAGGGTTTTATCCGGACCGAGGGAGGTTTAAGGACGTCTTTTACGAAGGATCATAAAAAGGAGAATTATTACAAAGTTTTAGCAAATTATAAAAGTTTAACTTTGGAAATAGATCCTTTGAAGGGATTAAAATGATTTTTCAACGCAAAAAATTCAATATACGAAAGAACAGATATTGTAAGTTTTGAAAATTGTAAGATAGATCGCTACCTACTTTAGAGGCAAATCATTTGAAGTGATCCATTTTCGAAATTAAACTGTCAAATTTTATCAAGTTTCGGGAAAGTTTCCCTTTTAACATAGTCCGCACATAGCAATGTTGTTTCAAAGACGTTCGTAAACCTACCTTAATCTCGACGCAAATCATACGCCCGCCTCCGTAAGCAAAGGATCTAACTGTTTGAGGGACAACTATGGACACGATCTGTGATCCCTAAACCTACATTTAAGAAACGATTTTAGTGCCCAAGTTAAAATAGTTTGGTAATTTGAAAGGGTAAGAGGCAGAGAGGTTTCAGTGCATTGTAAAGTTGCGGTGTTTCGTCGAACTGATTAGTTGATTATCTTTTAAGAGGTACACAGTTCATATCAACAAATTTGGAAAGTCTACTTAAATTACGGATAGATTTATCTGAACATTCCAAAAGAATTTTTCAGTCGTTCTTGAGTAAATGTGTTTGTCCATGATTCGTATAAATCAAGAACTAAAACATCATTCTGTGGAAACCGCACCTGACCCACTTTTTATACGTTGTCTCGAAATTTCAACTTCACCCCACCGTGCGGCGAAGTCATCCTGGTGCGTCACGACAGATTAAACACGTTTTTGCGCTTTGAGTAGCGGTTGCAAGCTGGACCGCCGGACTCGGGATGCTGAAAGCAGTGTCCATTTCCCTGGAGGGGTATGTGGTCCGGTCCTTATCCAGCCCAGTACAGCTGAGAAATTGAGCCGGAAATTCTCAAGCTACCCGTCGCGAGCCTCTCTTTGAGCGGTAAACAATCGCTGTGTTATCTCTCCGGTCGTTCCGGAAACTTCCAAAAGCTCGCAGTAATTTTAAAATGGGCCGCTGGACAGGGTAAGAATGAAATGATCGCATGGTATATTTTCTCATCAACAATTCACGTAAAACACGCTCAAAATATTGAATAGTTCCCAATTCACCTGTGTAATATGTATTAGCGTTCATTGTTTACACCAACATTAGTTAATTCAAAATAAACTCGTTCGATTGAAAAACTGAACGTTGAAAAAAAGCTAGAAAATCTCGCCGAAAACCGCACGGTTCATATTACAATATCTTAAGATATATCGACAGTGTAAGTCGGCGACCACATAACTCGGTTTGCGACGTCGCAAGACTTCCTGTCATTCTTCACTTTTTAAACGGGAAACTACTCACAGCAATTCCTTAAAATCGCCGTGAATTTTCTTCTCTGTGCGAAGCAAATTCTGCATAAACTTCAAGGAATGATTTCAATTGGTTCTCCTTTAAAAAATAACGTATAGGCGGAGAAGTACAGACGCAGCAAACGAGATATGTGATTGCGGACTTACGTCGTAGATGTGCCGTAGGGAGTGATACCACTATTCGTCCTCCGAGGAGCTCGGTGTGCCTATTCAATTCATTGAAGGCGTTTTTATTTGCCATTGCGGCACGCCGAAATCCAATCGTGATAACAAGCAGATTCTTATTTGAAACTGTTTCGTTTTTTCTTCAATGACGTGTTCGCATAAGACGTCAAATGCGATTCCATTCCGTTTGCGTAGAACTACTTATGTACGTCGCTTTTTCTCGTAAAAATTACGCATTTCTTGGAAAACTGATGTTCTTCCTTTTGTAAACTTTACAGAAACTTCCAGTCATAATTTGATCAGGATAAATTAAACCCAGTCACAATTTTTCTTACAGCTGGTTTCACTGAAACGTTTTCTTCGTGTCGTTGCTCTGGCACATTTTTTGTGCCGTGCGCAATGCAAACGCGGAGAACGAACAGCGACGCAGGAAAAAAAAGAAGCTCTAGTAAAGTAGTCATAAATAATTTTTAGGAAGCTTTTATGCGTTGCAATTCGGCATAGTGCATCGTTAAGAATTACTTGCGACTTTCAGAGGGAGAAGTCAAGGCCATAAAACAGGGCAAACGCCTGGTTACTTTTGGGTCCCCCTCTTGTACGTAGTCGTATATAAATGGCTTGCATTAAAAATAATGCATTTTTTTTTTTAAATAGATCCGCTTTATAAAAATAAATAATTTTTCTCCTTGGTCCTCGTTAAAATGATTTAAACTGAGCCGTGAATAGTCATAAACATTACAGGGTACGAGAAATCGTAAACTCTTTTCCTCCCAAAGCAAAACAAATACCTCGTAAGCGAAAGGCATCACACTGTAAGAAGATTGGACATTTAAAACATCTCAAAGTTGCTGAGATAGTGCATCGTGTCTCTCATTGTTAAATACTCGGGATGTCTCCGTTTCAAATACTTGCATTCGAGGGATTTTCTTCAATTTTGGTACCAATTTCTAATGAGAAAATATTTTTATCTGAGACGACGGGTATCCTGATAAATGAAAGGAAACAAAATCATAGCAGGAACTGAAGAGTAGAAATTCAAAAGATTATGCGCGGTACTCCTAGCTGTAAAAGAACCAATGTCCCTCCGCGTAATGGACTTTTTTTCTTTCTTTTTTTTTTTAAATAAAAAAGCTTGCTCTGCTCTTAGTTACTTTTTCATGATAACAATTGGACACATATGACTGAAATCAGTCTAACTACATCAGTCATTACATCATTTTCTTTTTTAACAGAAAATCAAGCCCTGGAAAAAAACACATTGGATCTAGAGTCCAGACTCTTGAAAACAATGACAAGAAAAAATACTCTTGATTCAATCAGATTTAAGCTTAAATCAAAAGGAAATCCGCTCAAATTAAGAGGCTTGGTTCTTGATTTAAGCTTGAATCTGATTGAATCAAGAGTATTTTTTTCTTGTCGATGTTTTTAAGAGTCTGGACTCCAGATCCAATGTGTTTTTTTTTTCCAGTGAGCAACGCTGAAACTCGGAATTTTGTGAATATAGTCTTCATGCTCTAAGGTAAATTCACAGAAAGGATAACAACATTAATTATTTTAGTTCTCTGTCAAAGAAAAAAACATAAAATGAAAGAAAATCAGGCAACGCAGTTGGGTTGATTACCGTCCCGTCCTTCTAATTTCATTCTCAACCCTCCAGATTCCAATTTGATGAGAAAAACAGTTGCACAATCTTAGCAACGCTCAGCAGGTCCCGAATTCCCACCCTTCAACTAATGGGTCTCGCCAGGCTTTGAATTTCCATCCTTCATATATTCATGATGCGTGCCACGCACTTTTCACCCTCATCGGAGCGCGACATCCCCCCGCGTTCGGCAGAAACGTCCCAAGTGCCCCAATAATTCGGCGTCGTCTTCCGCCCCGGCGCGGGGGCGGGGGCGGCGGGGGCTCCGGCTAATGGAGGAGTCCCACTCGCCATTACCGAGAGAAAATAACACCTGTAAGCTTGCGCGCACCTGTTCGTCAATTCCGCGTTCTCCGCTCCAAGAAAATGTACCGCCGAGGAGATTACGGCTCACCAAACTCTCCGACCACGGTCGCCACGCCGTGCGGGCCCCGAGGTGGGAGCGGGGTTTTTCGGGGGTGGTTACGGCAAGGGTGTTTTTCCGGGATGGCGGGGGGTAGCGGCGGGATCCCGACCCGTTTGGCCTCAGTCTCCCGGCCGCTTCGCTCGAGCGTCGACGCGATCCTCCCCCTCGCTCGCTCGTCATTTGCTCCGCGCTCCGCGATGCGCCTTCCTCCGTGAGCAACTGGTTGCTCCCGCGGTCCCGCTCCTCTCGCGGCCGTCCTCCCTTCGCGCGGAACATTCCGTGAACTTTAAAACAATCAACGTCCGTATTTCGGCCTCTAGTAAGCTTTACAACCTCTTCCTGTAAGTCCTCGGAGTTTTAAATTGCTCGAATTCGCTCCCAAATTTGGATTCGATAACCTAGTTCAAGATTCCGTGGTTTGCGGGTTGCATAACTTTTACTGAATTGTATGCATTGCATATTGCATAACTTCGAATTTCCTTGTGCTGCGGATTGCATAACTTCAAGTTCGCCGAAATTCTCATAGTAGTTGTGAAATACAGTCGTTCTTGATAATCACCCCTGGTTCTGCGGCCTTCATCCAGTTTTCGAGGCGCCACGAACCTCAGCCTGTAAGTCTTCAAAGTTTTTAATCGATTTCATCAAACAATCAATATTCGTATTTCGGCCTTTAGTAAGCTTTAAAACCTCGGCCTGTAAGTCCTCAGAGCCTTAAATTGGTTTCATTTGGATTCGATAACCTAGTTCAAGGTTCCGTGGTTTGCGGGTTGCATAACTATTACTGAATTGTATGCATTGCGTATTGCATAACTTCAAATTTCCTTGTGCTGCGGATTGCGTAATTTCAAGTTCGCCGAAATCCTCATAGTAGTTGTGAAATACAGTCGTTCTTGATAATCACCCCTGGTTCTGCGGCCTTCATTCAGCTTTCGAGGCGCCACGAACCTCAGCCTGTAAGTCTTCAAGTTTTCAATCGATTTCATTTGAGATTAACGACTGTGAAAGATTTCTGTGGTTTGTGAGTTGCACAATTCTAAGACTTCAGCTTGCATAACTTCAAATTTGCTGGTCTCATAACTTCAAACTTGCCGAATTTTATAAGTAGTCGTAAAAAGATCTAAGTAACATCGGTCTTTAAGACCTATAAGTTTTCGATTGGTTTCATTTGGAGTTGAAAACCCAGCTAAAGAAATCCGTAGTTTACGATTTGCATAACTTAGATCAGTCAAATTTTGTACAGTAGTTTTAAAACAAATAAGGACAATCGTTTTTAGATAATTTACATTTGGTCTTCGACTTTTATTCATCTTTTGGAGCTTTACGAACATCGGCCTGTGAGCTCTCAGAATGTTAAATTGGTTTCATCTGAATTTGACAACCAAATAATACAATTTCTTGATCCACGGGTTGCATATTTCAAGTTTTCCATATTTCTTACAGGAAGGGGAGAAGGGGGAAATAAAACAAATTCAAGCTAGTAAACTTGATAACCTTTTGTTCCTCGGCCGTTAACCACCTTTTGCGGCTCTTAAAACTTTTGTTCGAAGGTTTCCACGCGTTCAACGCGGTTTTGCTTTGAAGTTGATTGCTCACAGAAATAATTCCTCAAATCATTGATTGCATAACTCTCCTAATACTGAGTTTAGTGCCGGTAAAATTGCATGACTTCTAGATTTTTAGATTCCTTGTAGCGAATGATGCACAAATGAACGTTTCCTGAGATTCTAAAAATTAACGAAACAATTTAATGATTGTTCTACCTGTGGTTCTTCGGCATTTTTATTCGTTTACGAGGCTCTGTGAACATCCGCATTGGTTGCTCACAGAAATATTTCCATGCTTTCTACTAATAGGTTGCGTCACGTAACCTATTCTGAAAGTCGTGTGACGCAAATTGCATAACTTCAAATATGCTGAGTTTCCGGACGTAAGTTGCAGTCGTTCTTGGTACACAATTAGATTTTCACCCTCTGTGCACTCCAGCCTGTATGTTCTGAGACATTCTACTAGCTTCACATCCATATTGATAACCCAGAAATAGAATCTCGTGGTTAGCGTGGTGTATAATTTCAAGTATACTAAAATTGATGTATAACTTCAAGTGTACTAAAATTGATGTAATGCAGGTGGCTTAACTTACGATTTGCTAAGTTTCGCATGAGAAGAAAGAAGAAAACCTGAATCAATCGTTGTCCGTAATTTCTTACAAGCCTTGGGCCTGAAAATACCTTTGGACGTTCTGTACATACTTTCTCAGCTCTAAGTTAAGAATCCAAAAGAAATATCTCGCGGTTTCCGTGTCGTAAAACTGCAATTATGCAAACTTTTTAATACGATACGGGTTGTGTAATGTAAAGTTTGCACCAGCAAAATATTTGAGACAATCGAACTCGGTCACTTTCTCTGATATTTGTAATCTTATCAGCGCCTGAGGATCCACGAACTTTCAAAGTTCTTAGCTCTCAGTTGTTTTAATTTGAATTTGATGGTTCACGAATAGAATTTTGTGCAGCGCAAGTTTCATAGCATTGCGTATACTGAGTTTTATTGAACGCAAATTGTACACGATTTAAAATAGGCCAGGTTTCATTTGATGATTTTTGCACATTGGTAGTAAAAAAATGACAAACAATCGGTCATGATAATCTTTTCCGGCCCCTCAACATCAAATAAACAATCAAGGTTAAACAAAGTTCCGCATGGAGTTCTCAGCTATCAATAGTTCTCATTTGAATTCCTTAGCCTCTACAGAGAATTCCAGACGTTGCGGTCTGTCTGAGTTGACTTACATTGAATCTCATGCAATGCAAAAAGTGTAACTTCAAATATGCGAATTCCCGTCTTCGGCCCTAGTTAATCAGTTTTTTACATTCCATTAACCTTGCCTGTAGGTCCTTTAACTTTAACTTCCTTTTTAACTGTTATCATTTGAAGTTGATAGCCTTGCTATAGAATTCCATGCTTCGTAAGTTGCGCAACTTTACTTTTACTAAACTGCACATTGCACAACCTCGAAGTGACGAAGCTTTATCGTTATACGGAGTGCATGACTTCAAGTATTCTAAGTTTAGTGGTATGTTATATTCATAGATCCTCTAGGTATTTAATTGCAATGAAAAGATGTTCGTATTTTTTTGTTCGGCAGATTATCATTAAGCAAGTATACCCTACTTTAGGCTCTCAAATCCATACTGAGTTCGCGGAGGGAGAGCAGTCGAGAGATATGACTCATTGTCAGTTTTACAAAATGACACTTGATGCTACATTCTATCGCGTAATTTACATATCTGTTTGCAAATGTTGATGATATGAAAATAGCTGAAGGATGAGCATATCAAATGAAAAGGTTTACAGAATAATTTAATATTTAATTTTAATTGATAGATGACACATAAAAAATAGATATGTGGCATATTTTTGCCAAAAAATGAGATATTCTTCATTCCTAGGGGCTCCAAAAGAAACCGAGTTTTAGAAATCATATTTCCTCCTGAAAATTTGAGTGGGTGAAAATTTGTGCCATAAGCTTACAAGTAATTATCCAACGCCTAGAAATCACGAAGTGTTAATAGACCCTTCTTCGTTTGTTATTTTCCGGAATCGACAATGGTAATTAAGCCGTCCTTAAATTCATAAAGAATTGGAGCTTAATTTTGCCATTTTACTGTTATTTTAACATTTCTCGTTACTAATTTCAAGGACCAGCTCGCAGTAATAGTTCGAAACATAATGAAAGCCTTACATAAAGTCTTATGTTTTAAGTTAGCAGATTTCGATTTTTTTTTTTTTTTTGCTTTTTCTATGAGAATCGGAGCCTTTCATCAAAATTATAATAGTTTCCTGCCAAAATTGGCTACTCTGCCCTACTTTTCACGCGTTTTCAAGAACCGCAATGTGACGCCATCCGGCGCGCATTCCAGGAAAACTTGCAGTTGACTTTTTGCCTCAACCGCAAAGTCCACCGTACTCCGTAGTGTCGCCCCTTACTCGGCTATAAATTCGATCACCGCCAACAGAGAATGTTCAGTAGTTTTAATCTAAATGGCAACTTTTGCTACGCCCTCATCAGTGTTGCCAAATCGGGCGAATTAACCCCCTCACTGCGATTAGAATAAGCCCCCCTACACTCTCGCACAATTTCCACCGGGGCGCAACTTGGCATCATCTCATTGCGAGAACATGATCAAATTTCCATCAAGGAGACTAACTGCACCAATTAGACTGCGTTTTGCAACAAGCTTTGCTGTTAGCTCCTCAACTCTGGGAGATAGTGCAGCTTCGTGTAACCTGGAAGAAACTTAAAAGTTAACTAGTTTTTATTTATGCACCTAGAACATGTTAATTAAATAAGAATATAAGCTAATGCAACGCATTAATTGAATATAGTGTCTCGCAAAAATCGCCGATGGCCATGTTTTCAGCATTCAATTTTTATAGTACTTTACAGTTAAAACTATCATAAAGTGGTTTTGAGATTTCTACAGCCCTAAAAAGAGTATTAACACCACTTTTATGGTTGCATTTAACGCTGGAAAGAATTATTGACCCAGAAGAACTCAAGACTGAAAAATGGACCTAGCGGTTTTCGCAAGACACGATTAGAGTGATCTGCTCTCAACTGAACGGAGCAGTTGTACAACCTTAGCAACATTTCAGTGCTATCAGTTCCATACCACAACATGTGCTTCAGTGTATCTAAATAGCCCCAGCATAGTCTTAGGTTATAGGCACCGAATTCGGTTTGGGTAGTCAGAGTTACCCAGTCCTACTGAGACTCATATTTTTTACCGGAGATTTCGGTTATTTGCGAACTGAACTTTGCTTTTTGTGACCGGAATATTCTCTCACCCTAGCCGAAAACTTTGGTGTGTCACATGAATAAAAGTTTTGTGCTTGTTACGGAAGTTTTATTCGCATAATGTGTTAAAAATGCGAACTTTCTGGTTTCCATGTAATGATGTAGAAATCGTGTGAAACAGTGCTGCAGCCTTTGAATGGGCATTTCAAGCAAGAGCATTTTCCGCACTACGTGATGTCTCTGCGCGGTGGCAATGGACGGCCGTAAAACGTTTTATTGGCGTCAGATCCGGAAACGGACGCTTAATATACTTCACGACTTGGAACATCTTTCAAAGGGTGCTCTAAAAGAACCGAGGTTGGAAAAATCCCCACTCATGAGAAACATCGACGGTGAAACTACCAAACCACGTATCTCGGTTTGCGACGTCGCAGACTTCCTGTCATACTTTATTTTTTAAATGAAAAACTACTTAACATCCAGTCTTGAAAATTTCTGTGATTTTTCCTCTTTGTGCGGAGAAAATTCCGTGAAAATTTCAAGGAATGATATTGATTTGGTCTACTTCAAAAAAATAAAATGTGAGCGTAGATTTTTAAACACCGCAAACGAGATACGTGGTTTGGTAGTTTCACCGTCGACATGTTCTCTTTGTAGTATCCTTCCAATTTTTGAGGAGCTCCAGAAATCATACTGTTGTTAGAATATGCAGATCGGTGCAGTGCCTCTCGTTATGAGATACGTTAACTTGTAGCGACGGGTGGAGGAATATATTTTTCTGCGAAGGGGGTGCTGCGAGGGTTGGCGATTTTC